TTATATGCAAATGAATGATGGTGATTTGCCAATTTCAATTCAAACCAATATAATTGGTAAAATATTGTGTCAAAGAAAAGATCTTCGGACTGAAGAGATCCTGGTTAAGGGCTGTGAATCTCTAGTATCATACACTGGAAGGAACAATCTGGAACTAGAGGACCTAGTCTGACATTCAGCTCTGCTACTGGCTCAGCCAGGATGTCACCTGCAAATGGGGTAACTGTGTCTGCCCTTGTTATGAGAAAAGTTTCAAAATGAGAGGTTTGCTTTTGTTTCCATTGTCAGTAAATCCTTTTAAATTCAGATTCTGTAAAATCTCTTTAACTCAGATTTTATCTGAGATTGAGCTAAAGACCTCGAACATACTCTGACAGGAAAGTATAAAAAGAAAATGGCCGAAACAGGTTTGGCTCAGTGGATAGAGCGTCGGCCTCCAGACTGAAGGGTCCCAGGTTTGATTCCGGTCAGGGGCATGTGCCTGGGTTGCGGGCACATCCCCAGTGGGAGATGTGCAGGAGGCAGCTGATCGATGTTTCTCTCCCATCGATGTTTCTAACTATCTATCTCTCTCCCTTCCTCTCTGTAAAAAATCAATAAAATATATATAAAAAGAAAATGAATAAGGTCAACAAGATTTAACCAAGTAAGGAGAAAACTTCCTAAGAGTTGAATAATATCAGCATATCCTTGACAAAACAATGACCTCACTTCTTCAACAGGAGAGCCTAAGGACCATCAGGGGAGCATATACCATAAGACAGACCAATCATGGTCAAAAATAATAAAACCAAAATGACACCATTCTGAATAATCTTCAATACTGAATTTTATAAATCAAAATCAGGCTGTGTCCAGAGCCACCTGATATTAATTGTTAGTGCAGTCTGGAAAATATTTAAAGAATGCCAATGATGAAAATAAATCAGACAAGCTTCCCTGCCCTTAAGGATTCTACTCAGAACTTAAGTGCTATTTTTAAAAAAAGCACCTCACACTGAGAAATGGCTCTGCAGGGATGTTAAGAAAAAACAAGTAATTTTCCTGGGCTTTTGCCCAGGATCCACTCCCATAGTCAGAGAGCTGTCCATCCTTAAAACCTCCCACCATGCCTACAGCACGAGATGCTCTTGACAAACAACTGGGAGTGTGAATACTGAAGAGTCAGAGACTACACAGGAGTCAACGTGGTGACTGGTTCCAGGGTGGAATGGCCAGCTAGTCCCCTAGGCCAGTGGTCGGCAAACTCATTAGTCAACAGAGCCAAATATCAACAGTACAACGATTGAAATTTCTTTTGAGAGCCAAATTTTTTCAACTTAAACTATATGGGTAGGTACACTGTTATTAACTTAACTAGGGTACTCCTAAGGCTTAGGAAGAGCCACACTCAAGGGGCCAAAGAGCCGCATGTGGCTCGCGAGCCGCAGTTTGCCGACCACGGCCCTAGGCCATTGCCAAAGAAACAGGCATGGCTGCTGCTTCTATCTCCTGACTTAGAGCCTGGCTCAGGGCTTAGCATGGTGGCACAGGGAGGCATTCTGGTTCCAAAATGTGCAAGCTCTCCAAAAGAAGAAGGGCCAATAAGGTGTCCTCCCGGGTTTTAATGGGGACTTCATTAGTCATTGGCCATTAGCAAATGAACTCAATCTTCAGCCCCTCTCCCTTTCCTGGAGGCGGTAGGATAGGTGGGACTGAAAGTTCCAACCCAGCAATCAGCTCACAGGAGCCTTCCAAAAGTCACCTCATTAACATAACAAGAGACACTCCATCCACCCCACCCACCCCCCTTGGGAAATCCTAAGGGTTTGGGGGAGTTGTGAGCCAGAAATTGTGGTAAAGACAAATTGCCTTATATATCACAGTATCAAAGCTACTATTAAAACAAAACAAGACAAAACAAAAAATGACAAGTGTTGGTAAGGAGGTGGAGAAATTGGTGCCCTTGTGCACTTTTGGTGGGAATGTAAAATGGTACTGCTGCCATGAAAAACAGTCTGGTGGTTCCTCAAAAAGTTAAATATTGAATTACCATATGATCCAGCAAATCTGCTTTTGGACATATATCCAAAAAGAATTGAAAGTGGGGCCTCAAAGAGATACTTATGCACCCATGTTAGTATCTGCATTATTCACAGGAGCTAAAATGTGGAAGCAACCCAAATGTCTATCAGTGAAAGAATGGGTAGGCAAAATGTGGTATAAACATTTATTTAAAAAGTAATAATAACATAAAAATAAATAAAAATGCAAAAAACCATTCCCAGCTCCCAGGCCATACAAAAATAGACAGTGGGGGCCAAATTTGGACCATAGTCCATAGACTGCAAGCTCCTGCTCTAGGTCAGAATTTGCCAATGTCTACTTCAACTAAAAAAAACAAAACTGCTTCACATCAATTAAGTTTGGCAACACTAGATTAAACAAGGTTAAGCACATTTCTTTTTTTTAAATATATATTTTTTTTATTGATTTCAGAGAGGAAGGGAGAGGGAGAGAGAAATAGAAATATCAATGATGAGAGAGAATCACTGATCAGTTGCCTCTTGCACACCTCATACTGCAGATCAAGCCCACAACCTGGGCATGTGCTCTGACCAGGAATCGAACTGTGATCTCCTGATTCATAGGTCGATGCCCAACCGCTGAGCTATGCCGGCTGAGCAAGGCACATTTCTTTATTGCAGGATGTTGCAGTGCCTTTAATGTGGTACTATCGAATGAGAAACCACCAAAAGGGATGTGCTATGAAACTTTTCCCAATCTTATTATGACCATAAAACACTTTTTTCAGAGACATCTCTTCAGACTAGTGGCTTGAAAAAACACACTATGTAAATGCCAATTTGACACTTTTTAAAAAAGAGAAATTTTCAGATTGAGAAGTTTTAAAACCACCACCACCAAGTTAAAATCATTTTACCCAGCATCTGGAAAATATCTGAATAAGCATTTCACAATTTTTTTTTTTTTAACCCTAGGAAACACACACAAGGCAGGAAGATAAATACAGGGAGTCTTGGCTGAAACCCAACCTTTTGGGGGTGGGAAGCATGTCAGCAGAATTGGGTCATAATATGGAATCTTTGTTCCATAGGACAATGTAAGCATTCTATTAGCTTTTGACAAAGCAACCTGCTTGGGGTTTTAGAAATCCCAAAATAAGGCGCTCTGATGTTTGACTAGAAAACTAAAGCTACGCTAGAACTATCTGCAGATTACCCATACGTGAAGATGAACTGGCAAGTCAAGTCCATAAAAGGACTGCTTTAAATGTTACATGGAATGTTAGCTAACAGACTGCAAAAATCCTCTTGGTAGACTAACACCATCTATACAACACAGTGCTGGAGAGAGGCTTACAGAGGGATTTATGTCCCAGGAAGAAACACTGGCCTGAACAACCCCAAGGAACCCTTCTGTCTGAGACGCCTCAATTCTGTGACTCCAAGAGTTTCCTGCCTTCTGATCAAATACAAATTCTTCAGAGGCATTTCCAAGGTGTTCTGAGAAAAGAAGCTACAAACCCATGGGGTGGGCACCCTGCTTGGTAATTCATTCAACAACCATTTTTAAGGAGCCCTTATCAGCTGAGCCATTGGATGGTTCCCAGGAAAAGATTACATAAGATGCATTACATCCAGGCTCACTGGCCTCAGTTGCCCAAGATGTAGGCTGGAAGCGTCAAGAAGAGGGCAGAAAAAAAGTCAGCCAGCACCAGAAAGATTCAAAATAACTACTCAGACTCAGACACTTTAGAGTTGGGTTGAGCTACAGTGGATAGAGCTCCGTGGATAGAGCATCAGCCTGTGGACTGAAGGGTCCCAGGTTGGGTTCCCGTCAAGGGCACATGCCTGAGTTTCGGGCTTGAGGCAGCCGGTCAATGATTCTCTCTCATCATTGATGTTTCTATCTCTCTCTCCCTCTCACTTCCTCTCTGAAATCAATAAAAATAGTTTTAAAAAAATAATAATAAAATAAATAAAGTTGGAAAGGGCTGCCATTTGACACCTATATCCCTCCTTCAACAGGGAGTTCACTACCTTTGGAGGCAATTCCATTCTTGGTCACCTTTGACCAGCATTAAGTTCCTCTATTACATGGAAATCTCGGCTTCCTGTAGAATCCACCTATTGGGCCTAGTTCAGCCCCTTTCAAATCCGAAGATGATGTGAAAACCCTCTTTACCGCAACAACTTTGTCAGTTATTAGAAGACAGTTCCCTTCCATTGCTCTCTTTTCTGGGATCAACATCCCAATTCCTTCAAAGAGCCTGGACAGGCTAGGCTCTCACTGCCTCAGAGCAAATCCAGTACCCACAGCACTTAAGGTCAGTGAGCTTCAGACATCAGTGGGCATAGGAGCCCCCAGGTTCCCACCCAGGTTGCAAATACGAGGTCCTATTTTGAGTCCCCCTGGCGAAAGTCTGCACGCCCAGGGCATTTCAAAGAAGATGGTGTGAGACCGGCATTGCATTCGGAGAAACACTGCCCAGGTTGGCAGATGAGGAAACGGAGGCCCGGCACAGGGAAGGGATTTGGCCCGGAGCACACAAGCGGCTGGAGGCGGCCAAGTCTCGAACCCGGGTCCCTCACTCCCAAGCCCAACTGTGTTCACCCAGCTTCCCGGCCTCGGCTTCTGCACTCGGGGCAAACTCATGAAAAAGTACTAGGAGCAGCCCCGAGAGGGGAGGTTGGGGGGGCGGGGGCAGAAAGAGTTGGAGTGAGTCCTTGCCAGAAAGGGGGAACTCGTGGGGAGCCTTTTGCCTTTCGGGGCCTCAGTTTCCCCAAGTTGTAATCACGGGCCGGAGACCACAACGCCAGCCCGACCTCTCCTCTGAAGCCAAGGGCCCTGGGCAGAACCCGGCGTGATGTCTCCGTGACCCTGAACTCAGGTGCCGCGGCCGGTGGGCCCCGCGAAGGAGAAACCCGGTCCCCCGCCTCTCAACCTCGACCGCCCCTACCGGCCCCCTGCTCCCCACCAGCCCCTCCGGTACGTACCGGCCGCCGCTCAGCTAAAGCCGCCGAGGCCGACCCAGCCTCTCCGTGCGCCGACCGCTCCGCCCAGTCAATCTCTACGACGAGACCTCGGAACCCTCCTACGCGGACTCCGGTCACCTGACCTGGAGCCGCCCCTTTCCGAGATACTTCCGGCCACAACCGGAAGGGGTTGGTCCCCTGCGCTGTGGTCCGGGCCCAGACCCGGGCTCTAAGGTTCCGCCTGCGGACAGGAAGCGGAGGAACAACCTGGGGGCTCTCGACAACTTTACCAAAAGATTCGGTCTGGGCAGGGGAAGCACAGCGTAGGCCTGGAACAACTTGTAGCACCAGAACGTAAGGTTGATGGGAATCCGAAAGGCGGGAATATGTCAGAAGACACAGGAGCTAACTTGAAGGAGATCCCATTTAGCCAAATCCGAGCAATTTGAGCATCAAAATAGGTAATGATAGCAATAGAGTTTAATGGAGCAAAATGGTAACCCATGAGTCTTTACTGATATAAATAAAGAAGTGGAGCCCTAGCGAGGGCCGATGCCCTAACCACTGAGAACACCGGCCAGGGCTGTTCTCTAGAGTTCTTGATACCCATCTTCATTGTTTCATTAACTCAACCAACATTTATTCAGTGCCTGCAGTTGTCTCAGGGATTGTATTAAGGGTTGGTTCTGAGTAGGGGGTGAAGGTAGTAGATGAAATAAACTCCTAGATGAAATTCCTCATCTGCCAGCCCTCTTCTCAGGATCCTATGGATAAGGGAGTAACACAAGGTGTTTCCAGTCATACAAACATGGATTTGAGTCCAGGCTCTGATAAAGAGAAAAGTAGTCCCTGATATCCGGGAGCTGGTCTGGCACTAACAAGTAGGCATTGGCATTCTGGTGAATATAAAAATGTCACAGAATAAAAAAACAAAACAAACAAAAAACAAAATGTCTACAGAACATCAGACAAGGCCACCCTGTGATGGTGATGAATCAAAACAAATAATAAGACCTTTCCCATAATCTTCCATAATCGTGTCTGAACCAGACAAAACATGAAGGTTGTCCAAACCACAAAAATGACCAAACAGTTCCCTATCTTGGCTCATAAAGAGGTTGCTACTTATTCACCAATACAGCTTTAGACGCAGTCTAATCTTCCCTCATTCTAAACAAGATTTATCAAGATACCCAATCATAGACAGTATCGAACCTAGATCAAACCCTGCTTCCTTGGGAGGTTAGAGAACAATCAAAGGACTTGTATGCATGCATATTGGCATGACCAATGGACACAGACCCGGGGGTGGTGGGGGCTTGCCTGGGGTGGGAATGGCTGGGAAGGGGGGGGGAGCAATCAGGGAAAAAGGAGACAATAAATAACAAAATAAAATTTTAAAACCCTGCTTCCTTAACCCTCCTCCAAATTAAATCATAAATGTTTTAACACTCTGTTACTAAGATGCCTCATCATTTTTCATGGTTTGCATTACCTACCCCCACCCTCTTGCTGTAACAAGTAATAAGCCCAACTTGTTCAACCAAGGGTGTGTCCTAGAGGTCTTTAATTGGAGAGCTTTGAAAACTCCCATGCTCACTAGCTATGTGACTTTAGACAGGAGTTTCACTTAGAAGTCTCTGTTTCCTCATTTGGTAAAATTGAAGAGATTTATTCCAACCTCAGAAGGTTGTTGTAAGGGTACAGAACAGGTTTAGCACTGAGTTGGCTCAGTATACTTTTAAAAATTTCTTCTTGAACTGTTACCTTCTTCAAAAAGTCACAGAGTACCATCATTATGAACAGACACTGAAGCTATCAGCTTCAATTAAGACAAACTTGCTGCTCAGCCAGCATGGCTCAGTGGTTGAGCATCAACCTATGAACCAGGAGGTCACAGTTTGATTCCCGGCTTGCGGGATCGGTCCCTAGTGTGGGGCCTGCAGGAGGCAGCCAATTCTCTCTCATCATTGATGTTTCATGTTTCCATCTCTCTCTCCCTCTCCTTTCCTCTCTGAAATCAATTTTAAAGACAAACTTGCTGAGTATATTCCCCTTTGCTCCTTGGGTTTATAAGGCAGACTAAAGGCGAGAGTTGAACTTTTCCTTTGTCAGAAATGAGGTCATTCTCATGTTTTCTTCTGGAAAGTGATAACCACATTCCTGAAACGTTCCTGTTGGGGAATCAGCACTGTTTATTTCCGCATGTTCTTGTTATTAGAAACATTCCCAAGAAATAACAGAATTGGAACTAACACATTTGGGAAAACTTCAGCTTCAAAAATATATTAAATATCTTCTCTGCTTTAGCACACTAAGGTACTTACAGACCCCAGTAGCCCTGTTGGTGATGTTTGCATCTAGCCCACTAGAACCCAGCGTGGATTTCATATTATTTGATGCCTACAACAAATTGTGCCGAATGAAAACATATTCATTCCAGTGGGAAAAAATAAAATAAGTGGAAATGTTCTGATTCCTTTCCCTGCTTGCTCTGAGCATCTGAAAGTTCTCATTGGGATAGCCCTAACCCCCCACCCCCGCCTTCATCCCCACTTACTCCTCTAATACTAATAAATACTAATACTAATACTAATACTAATACTAATACTAATACTAATACTGGCAGCTGATATTTATTGAATGTTCATTAATGTGCCACAGGGATTTATGCAATTTAACCCTCACCCCAAATTGCAAAGCAAGTATTACTACTTATGAGGAGCAAGAGGCCCGGTGAAATTAAGCAACATACCCAACATCCACATAGCTGGTAACAGTCTCAAGATTGGAATCTGCCTACAAAATCTGCTCCTGTTGAAATGCCGCTCCCCACCTTGGGCCAGGGGTCTGTGAAGAGATGGAGGAAGGGATGGGGCTGGGAAGGAAGGAAAGGCCCTAGCGGGTTTGGCTCAGTGGATAAGAGCGTCAGCCTGTGGACTGAAGGATCTCCAATTCAATTCCGGTCAAGGGCACATGCCCAGGTTGCAGGTTGGATCCCCAGTGGGGTGTGTGCAGGAGGCAGCCAATCAATGATTCTCTCTCATCATTGATGTTTCTATCTCTCTCTCCCTCTCCCTTTCTCTCTGAAATCAATAAAAATATATTTTTTAAAAAGAAAGGAAGGGTCTGGGCAGGGGGATGTGGAAGTCCATGCTGAGGCATTCAGCTCTCCAAATCTGGCCTACCCCCACCCCCATCCCACTCCACTCTGGGGTGAGTCTGTGCTTTCCCATACAAGAAGCTCAGAGAGAGGAAGGCCAGTGTGCAGGCAGAAGGGAGAATAAACCAGAGGAAGCACCATCGAATCCTCCTCAACCCCAACCCTTCCATGGAAGAGGTGAGCTGGTTAGGATCATGGCCTCATTGGTTACCCAACCTGGTGTGTGCTTTCAGGCATGTTACCTAACCCCTGGGCCTCAGGCTCCTCTCATTCTTTGTGCATGGGTCCTAAGGTTAGGCCAAAGGCCACTGCCATCAAGCTTTCTGACCCAGGACAGCTCGGGGTCCATTAATTCTGCCCCCACCACGGGGAGCCTACCCCAGGGCACTGTCCACAGGGTGGCCCTGCTGACCAAGGGCAGGGTCTCACTTGGGTCAGGAGCAGGGTGAACCAGCCTGACTTCCAGGTTCGGGTCTGGAGAGTATTATTAGTTTAGAGGCGTGGCCATTAGGTGGTATCAGGACCATATTCTGGAATCTTCCGAGAGCTGGGTCAGAAGGACCCTATTCCTGGGAGTTAGACTCTTCCCAAAGGATTCTGGGATATTCCCAACACACATGAGGCATGGACAAAAATCTAGGAAACTCGGTAAGGGAAAGACTAGTGAAGGAGAGGAAATCTGGAAGGCAGTAAGAATTCATGGGGTCCAACCTCTGGGCTGTGTGGGGAGGGAGGCGGGGCACTGCTTGAACAGGCCTTCTCTGCCCTGCACCTACAGGAGCCCAGGAAGGAAGGAAGGAATGTTTGCTTAGGGCCTGCCACATGCCAGGAATTATGGGGAGATCGCTTCCTTATATTTTTCTCAGTGAGTCCTTTTAATAGGTCATTGAGGAAAGAATTATTGGCCGTTTTACAGAGGAGGAGAGTGAAGCTCGGAGAGGTGAAGAAACGTGGTCAGATGTCACACCGGGAGGAAGTAGAGCTGCATTTCATGCTTCTGAGTCCCGGAGGATGAGCTAGAAGTCGGGTGGCCCAGTAAAATACAGGGTGCCCAGTGAAACCTGAATTTCACACGCACAACAAATGAGACATGCTTATACTAAAAAATTGTTGTTTAATCTGAAATTCAAACTTAAGTCAGTGACTTTCATTTTTGCTCATCTGGAAATCCTTGATAGAGGGGATGTCCATGGCCCCCAACAGTGAAAATGGGCAGGATGTTGGACTTCGGGGTCCAGAAAAGAAGTTTGAATGACACTTCAATGCCCTCTACCCTCTCGGGGAGAAGGCCTAGGTTCCAAGGCCAACTGGTGCCTGCCACCTGCTGCGTGGCCACCAGGGGGCAGCCGAGGTATGCACAGCTTTCCCAAGGCCTGGGGGCAACCAAGACCCAAGGGACAAAGATCCTCAGACTCTCAGATTTTCCCCACTCTGCACCCCACCTGTTCACCTTCAGCCTCCCCCATACCAGCAAATTTCCCCACCCTGCGTTCATCCATGTTCAGGCCAGAAACCTGGGAATTTCTCTCTCTCTCTCTCTCTCTCTCTCTCTCTCTCTCTCTATCTCTCTCTCTATCTCTCTCTCTCTCTCTCTCTCCTCTCTCTCTAATGTAATTTGCATACAAAAAAGGTCAGTCTTAGGTGTTCAGCTCCATAAATTTTTACATACACACCCATGTAAACATCTCACAGAGCTGTACTGTCTAGTACAGCGGACTTTAGCCTCCGGTGGATGCTGAGTGCTTGAAATGTGGAATCCGAATGGAGATGCACAGTAAGTACAAAATACCCTCCAGATGTCTGAGACTGGGTATATTTAAAAAGGATGTAAAATAAAGGACCTTATTAATAATTTACAAATACCGATTACATGTTGAAATAACACTTTACACATGGATATCATCTACAATGTATTATGAAATTTATTTATCCTGTTTCTTTTACTTTTTAAACAG